GCCCTCCCAGAACCGTCGGCCGCTGCCGTTTGCAAGAAAACCGGTCTCCTGGGAGAGGGCCGCGCCCTGCTAAACGCCTCAGCTTTCTGCCCCCTGCAAGAAACGTTTTCTCTGCAAAGTGTCTCCAAGCTCACTTCGAGCTTTCGCTTTCCATGAAAGGGCGCCACTCATAGATGCCCGGAGGCATTTGCTCCGGGAAGGAAGTGAGTTGTTAAGACGTGATTAGCACGCACTTGTACAGTAGTGGACTGCATCGTTTAATGGAGAGCTTTGATAGGTTCTGGCAAAAGGAAGCGAGCCTTAGCTCCCTCCCCCGGGGAGCTTATGTTTGTTCAAACTCATGTACGTGCGGTTTTAGGGGCATCTTCCATTAAAAGGGAAACATCAAGGAGATTACTTATTCTAACTACCACTCAATTAAGAAAGCTCTGTGAGGTCGGGCACAGTGGCTCATGCCTGTAATCCTAGCAGTTTGGGAGGTCGAGACTGGAGGATAGCTTGGAGTTTCGAGATCAGCCTCGGCAATATAGCGAGATCTTGTCTCTTAAAAAAAGAAAAGAGGCCGGGCTCGGTGGCTCAGCCTGTAATCCCGCGCCTTGGGAGGCTGAGGTGAGTGGATTGCCTGAGTCCGCGGGTTCGAGACCCGCCTGGGCAACTTGGTGAGACCTCATCTCTACTATAAATCACAAAATTAGCCGGGCGTGGTAGTTCCAGCTACTTGGAAGGCTGAGGCGGAAGGATCGCCGGAGCCCAGCAGGTCGAGGCTGCGGTGGCCGGGAGCGGCCACTGCCCTCCAGTCTGGGCGACAGAGTGAGACTCCAACTCAAAAAAAGAAAAGAAAAGAGGACGGGCGCGTGGCTCAAGCCTGTAATCCCAGCACTTTGGGAGGCTGAAGTGAGGAGATTGCCTGAGCTCACGGGTTCGAGAACAGCCTGGGCAACTTGGCTTTATCTCTATAATAAATCAAAATATTAGCCGGGCGTGGTAGCGCGCCTGTAGTTCTGGCTACTTGGAAGGCTGAGGTGGAAGGATCGCCTGAGTCCAGCAGGTCGACGCTGGGGTGGCTGTGAGCGTGCTACTGCACTCCAGCCCGGGCGACAGGTGAGACTCCAACTCAAAAATAAAGAAAAGATAGCTTTGTATGATCTGCTGTACAGAGAAATTAACAGGTCAACTTTACTTGCAACCTAGTGGGGAAGAAAAACTGAAGAAAAAGACGAGTGAAAATGGATGTTGGTGGAGCAGAAGTCTCCATCCTTTCCTTTGGCCTGGGCACTCAGCTTTACTTTGCATGGAGACCCAAGACTTCCTCCCACTGGCACCTGCAACTCAGCCTGTGGGCTTTCTGGGAGCTGGGGTGCTGGAGTGGGATTAACACCCCCCTGGAGCAGCTCCCTGCCATTGGCTGAGGGATTGGTGGATAAGGGGACTTGGTATGTTCTTACTCTGTTGCCCAGGCTGGGGGACAGTGACACAATCACCGTCCATCACAGCCTCAACCTCCTGGGCTCAGGTGATCCTTCCACCTCAACTTCCCCAATAGCCGGGACTACTAGCGCACTCTCGGCTTATTTTTTAAAAAACATTTTTGTAGCGATGATGTCTTGCGATGTTGCCCAGGATGATCTCAAATTCCTGGGCTCAAGCAATCCTCTAGCCTCGGTCTCCCAAAGTGCTGGGAGCCACCACCCCTGGCCTGCCCTTGCTTTTCAAAGTGTGCAAAATGAACCAGCAGCACCTGCAAGCCTGAGTACTGGTGGGCCACACAGAATCTTAGGCCTTGCCCCACACCTGCTGAATCAAAATCTGCATTTTATTTTCTGAGTTGGAGTCTCACTCAGTGGCCCAGACTGGAGTGCAGTGGCCGCTCCTGGCCACCGCAGCCTCGACCTGCTGGGCTCTGGCGATCCTTCCGCCTCAGCCTTCCCAGTAGCCGGAATTACAGGCATGCGCTACCACGCCCGGCTGATTTTTTTATTTATTGTAGAGATGAGGTCTCGCTGCCCAGGCGGGTCTCGAACCCGCGGGCTCAGGCAATCTACTTACCTCAACCTCCCAAAGGCGCAGGATTACAGGCTGAGCCACCGAGCCCGGCAAAATCTGCATTTTAACAGAATCCCCAGGTGGTACCTCTTATGTGCATTCAAGTTTGGGAACCAGTGATCAAAGCTAGGTGTTCTCAGAGTGTGGCTGGAGACCACTATTTGTAACATCATCTGGGAACTTACTAGAAATGCAAATTCTGGGGTCCCACCCCAGACCTTCTCAATCAGACACGGGTGTCCAGCCCAGAAAACAGACCCTGCAGGTGATCCAGCTACACACTAAAGTTTGAGAAACCACCGGCCTAGGGGTTTAAACATTGTTTTAAAGTGAGCTTGATTTTCCTTTGATTCGTTTATATGAGATAGGCTCCACTTTGTCATATGAGTTTCAGGGGGAAATGTATGACTTTCTCTGTGTCCTTCTCTTTTTGAAAGTGGATGATCCAACACCCTTTGACATTCAAGCTGAGATAACACTGAAGACCAATTTTTTTGCCACTAGAAATGTCTGCACCGAGTTACTGCCAATAATGAAACCTCATGGTAAGTCCAGTGTGTGAACCATCAGACTACATCCCTGTAACATATTAACCCCAAATCTGAGAGGGCTTGTGTGTAATGTTTACCTATTCCAAAGAAGTCACCTAAAGATCCAGCAAGGAAAGACACTGGCTTATTAAAACTTGGCTGGGCGCAGTGGCTCAAGCCTGTAATCCCAGCATTTTGGGAGGCCAAGGCGAGAGGATTGCATGAGCCCAGGGGTTCGAGACCAGCCTGGGCAACTTGGTGAGACAATATATCAGAAAATTAGCCAGGCATGGTAGTGTGCACGTAGTTCCGGTTACTTGGAAGGCTGAGGCAGTAGGCTTGCCTGAGTCCAGCAGGTCGATGCTGGGGTGGCCATGAGCATGCCACTGCACTCCAGCCTGGGTGACAGAGTGAGACTCTGACTCAAAAAAAAAAAAAAGTATGGGAGGCACTGATGGTGACAGGTTGATGAAGAATCTGCATCTCGGGAAAGTATAGCAAGCAGTTTTATAATCAAAGCAATCAAGCTAATCATTGAAATTCCTATAGTGTTTATTAATTAACATTGATTAAGCATGATGACTAATTGCTTTCAGTTTTGCTTGGTCACCTGCATCCCATGACCCATTACTGGGAATATGCACACCCTTCAGAGACCAGCCTTGGCCAGAGCCACTCCCTGAGGGAGAGGGCAGGAAGACGTCAGGTATAGGGGGAAACAGTCCACGTTGGGACAGTACCCCACAATCCCTCAGTAAGGAGGCTCCTTGGATTAGGGCCACCCTACAGGAGTCACCCAGGGGTGCTAATTCTCTGTAGGGGAAAAAATAGAAAATTGTCTTATTTTCTCATAGTGTCTGGTTTCTCACTTGAACATTTTAGCTTTAGTTTTCAAAAATATGTATGATGGATTACAGTGCTCTTGGGATCCATGTCATGAACTCAGTCCTAAAATGATAAGATGTTACAAGTCCCCAAAGGCCTCTTGCTTCTGATCAATCTTAGTGAGTCCTCCAGTTCTCCAAGGTGATGGGCTGACACCTGGCTCATCTAGGGAATCTGAAGAATAGTACAAAAAGTCCAAGAGTGCATTCAAAGTCCATTTGTTTTAAGTCCAACACAGTCTAAGTACTCAACTAACACTATCAGCTGTATAGTACTGTATGTATTTAATAGGCTATACTGACACCTGGTGGAGAGAAATAATACACAAAAAGCACATGTGCATCATTAAAGTTTGTAACTTGAAGGTTCATATGTAGGGGACTTACTGTATCTGTTCTAGTATTAGAACTTTCCCTGTATTCCTTTTTCTACCAAACTTTGTCAAGTGGATTCAGAAAATACAAAAGAAAAGTTATTAGGAAATATCTTGCCCACAGTCCCCAATAATTTGTATTACTGTTCCTACAAATATCTATGGAGTGCCTACCATATCCCAGGCACTATGCTGGGGTGCAATGATCAACAGCATAGACAGGAACCATCCTGTCCATGGAGCTTAGAACCTAATGGGGGAGATAGTCATTTACAAATAATTAAAAGTGTAAAATAACAACTGTGCAGAGTGGGAAGTCTTGCTTCCCTGAGGATTTTCTTGCTCAAGAATTTAACTGTGATTCTAAAGAACAACTCTGTGGTTGTTATTAGAAAAGTGCTTTTTTTTTTGAGTTGGCATCTCACTCAGTTGGCCAGGCTAGAGTGCAGTCGCATGATTACAGCTCACGCAGCCTCAACTTCTGAGGCTCAGACAACCCTTCTGCCTCAACCTCACAAGCAGCTGGCACTAGAGATACCAACATGGCTAGCTAATTTTTTTTATTATTTGTAGAGACAAGGTCTCACTATGTTGCCCAGGCTGGTCTCGAACTTCTGGGCTCAGACAGTCCTCCCACCTCTGCCTCCCAAATTGCTGGGATTATAGGCATGAGCCACCACACCCAGCTCTTATTCTTCTTTACAACTACACAGTATTCCATTGTAGGGATGTCTTTGACCAAGTATCAGGAAGTCATTTCCCTGATGCATGTTAAAATCAGAACTTGAGAGCCACAAGGTGTTCACGAAACTTTGTGTTCCTACACCTCCACTTTACAGAAAGAAAAACAGACCCAAAGAAGTGACCACAGACAGGCAATCACAGAGGTGGAATTGTATCCAGGCTTCTTGACTACACCATGTAATCAAATTAGGATAATTCATTCTAGTGAAGTAAGAATTGTAGCATAGCACCCATAAAAAGAATGAAATCGTGTTCTTTGCAACAACATGGATGGAGCTGGAGATCACTATTCTAAGCGAACTAACTCAGAAACAGAAAACCAAACACAGCATGTTCTCACTTCTACGAGGGAGCTAAATGGCCACAAAGATGGAAATAATACACTGGGGACATCAAAAACTGGGATGGGGATAGGATTCCAAAACTACTTGTGGGGCACACTGTTCCCTGTCTGGGGAATGGGCCACCTGAGACCCAATCCCTGCCACTACACAATATGTCCACGTAATGAACATACATGTGTACCCCCAAATCTAAAGTAAAAATGAAAAAAAGAATTATAGCACCAAGTGATTATAAACCAAGTTATTCTGAAAGCTAATGGAATACTCTGGGGAGGTGAGGGTCAGGATTAACCCAGAGCAGGTGAATCATTTTTTCAACTAGCTCTGCAACATTACTTCCCCGGGTGCTCAGGTTCATAACACATTGAGGATATCTGTGACTTTTCGATGAACCTGAGGGACAAAGCACTAAGCATGATTCCTCTGGGTTTGTAGGGAATCACTCTCTCCACATACAAGACTGATTTAGGCCAGGTATTGAGGCTCAAGCCTATAATCCCAGCTCTTTGGAAAGCTGAGACAGGACCAGCCTGGGCAACCTAGCAAGACCTCACCTCTACCAAAAAAAAAAAAAAAATTTAATTAGCCAGATGTGGTGGTGTACACCTGTTGTCCCAGTTCCTCAGGAGGTGGAGGTGGGAGGCTCACTTGAGCCCAGGAGGTCAAGGCTTCAATGAACCAAGATTATGGCACTGCACTCCAGCCTGGGTGACAGAGCCAGACTCTGTCTCTTAAAAAAACAGAAACAAAACCTTTAAAATAATAAAAAGACTGATCCAAAAGCCACGCTTTTTAAAAAAATTTTTATTTTTTGAGTTAGGGTCTCACTCCATCGTCCAGGCTGGAGTGCAGTGGCACGCTCATGGCCTCCCCAGTGCCGACCCACTGGGCACCAGCAATCCTTCTGCCTCAGCTTTCTAAGCAGCCAGAACTACAGGCGTGCACACTGTGCCTGACTACTTTTTAAAAATTATTGTAAACCGGGCTCAGTGGCTCAGCCTGTAATTCCAGCACTTTGGGAGACTGAGGTGAGTGGATTGCCTGAGCCCGCGGGTTCAAGACCCACCTGGGCA